GCCGGAAACGGGTGTTTTCGCTCGAAGTGTGCCTTGAAATTTTTTTTTCACGCCTCGTTGATGTTCTGGCGCCCGTGAGTTTTTTTTTTAAGGTGCAGCTCTGTTGCGAGTTGCATGGCTGCATTCCTCGTAGAGAGAGTCCGGAGTCCGGATTCATATCTCCGATTCGGAGAACCGAATGACGAAACCGGGTCCGAACGTGACCGGCGTGGCGAACGTGAGTCGCCGGCGATGACTAAAAGGACTGTCATACTGCCAGATCGCGATATGAGCTGTTTCTATTGGGATTTCCTCCTTGAACCCTGGAAAGCTGGCATCCGTCCTAATGGTGTTTCAAGGACAGGCTCTCTCTATCAATGTGAAAAAGGGAATTTTTTTTTTTTCCATCCGCGTTATCACTTCTACCTCTCCGTGCCCGTCGGTCGATGAAGCGAGAGGAATTTATAGCGAAGGCGCTTCCATTCTTCTCGGAAATTCTCATTCTTCTGGCTCGCTTCGGCGAGCAACGCCGAATAAAGGGGTTCGGGAATCGATGCAGTTCCCGTTTCCTCGTTCTCTTCATCTGAGAACGGAAATAACTGTTTAAGAATTTTCCTCGGACTCGTTCGGGTCAGGTTCGTAGGAATCGGTGGGAGCCGTTCTGAAGCATCGCGGGAAAAAAAAGTTGTAACGTGTAACGAAATCGTGTCATTTTGCTCGCAGCGTGATTGCCTCAGTTCGTGCTCGCGGAATCTTGATACAAGACTTCCTGTTTCCCGGTTCGTTGGGTTGTCATACCGCGAGATTTTTACGTCCTCATTGTCGAAATCGTTTGCCCCAGTGTGCGGATCATTCCAGCTTCTCGGTATGTATCTGACCTTACCGGTGTGTAACAAGTGAGGGAAGCGTCTGTCCTTGATTCTCCCGAGAATCGATCTTCATCAGATCAGCAGAACTTCGCGCTTGTGTTTTGATCGATCGCTGCTCGATGCGTCATGACTCCAGTTTTTTCTCTTCCCGTTCGGTTTACAGACAGATCGAGACCGACTCCAAGTCCCTCAATTCCCTGTCGAACAACAGCGGACACTCCCGGAGGAGTTCCGACACGTCGCAGGTGAGCGCATTTCCGCCCGGTGGCAGGTGCCGGTCGTGGAGGCCCCCGAATGCAAGTCTTCCTCTCGGTGCGTGCAGGTTTCGGTTCAGAGCGGGGGGAGCTCTGGGGCGTGCAGTCCCAATGCGGAGCAGGAGAACGGGGAGGAGGACAACTGGACCCTGTGGGGTCAGATCGTCAACGATTGGGAGACCTTCAGCAAGAAGAGGACACCGCAGCTCAAGGTGTGTGGAGAGGATTTTTCGTTCGCTCGGGAAAGGAGGTCTTTTTTTTTTCTTCTTTTCTTTTTCTTTTCTTTTTTTCCTCCTTTGAGCTTGGGAGCGGAATGGATCCGTTTGTAAAGAGGAAGCAGTAGGGTGGAAGTCTTATTGCTCTCTTCTGGCCGGGGCCGAGTGTTCTGCTCGGCGAGGGCACGATGGGATGCATACTCGTTGGGGGTGGAAGTCGCATGGTTTTCTCGTTTGTATTGCAGGAATTGGTGCGGAAAGGCGTTCCGACTCACTTCAGAGGAATCGTATGGCAGCTTCTCTGCGGTGCCCACAATTCTTCACTCAAGAACAAATACGTACAATATATCAAATCGCATTCCCCCTGCGAGAAAGTCATAAGGAGGGATATAGCTCGTACTTACCCCGAGCACGAATTCTTCAAGGAGAAGGATGGGTTCGGTCAAGAGAGCTTGTTTAACGTCATGAAAGCCTATTCCCTCCACGACCGTGAAGTGGGCTATTGCCAGGGCAGTGCCTTCATTGTAGGACTTCTCCTCATGCAAGTGTGTTCATTTTGTTGCATCTCGATGTCGATCAATCTCTCGATGATCGATGTCGATGTCGATCGTCGGACGCCAGAGAATGCGTTTCTAACCGGTCCTTTCCCCTCATCGCAGCAAATGCCCGAAGAAGATGCCTTCGCCACGTTCGTCAAGCTCATGCAAGATTATCGACTGCGGGAGATGTTCAAGCCTTCTATGTCGGAACTGGGCCTGTGCATGTTCCAACTGGAGTGCATGGTCCAGGTGAGTCCTCCCATCGCCAGATCCATTTCCCGCCCGCTCGACCGTGAGCAGCTTGCTTACGAGATGCCTTTTCCCCCCTCCCGCAGGAGCTGATCCCCGAGCTCCACATCCACTTCCAGTCCCAAAGCTTTCACACGTCCATGTACGCGTCCTCGTGGTTCCTGACGCTGTTCACCACGGCGCTGCCCCTCCCGGTCGCCTGTCGCATCGTCGACGTCTTCCTCCTGGAGGGGATCGAGGCCGTGTTCCGCGTCGCGGTCGCGATCCTGCTGGCGAGCAGGGACAAGCTGCTCCAGCTCGACATGGAGGGCATGCTCAAGGTCGGGATCGTTCGATGGTCGTTGGTGTCGGGACCTGCACGATTTATGACCGTTTCCCATCTTGTGCTGCAGTATTTCCAGAGGGAAGTACCGGGACAGTTTGGATCGGAGCCAGATGCTCTCATGCACATGGCATACAACGTCAAGTACAACAGCAAGAAGATGAAGAAGCTCGAGAAGGACTACACCGTCATGAAGACGAAGGAGCAGGAGGATCTCATCGAACTTCGGGTGAGCATGAGCGAACGATTCGAGCGGGAGCATCGAGTACAGTTTTGAAGGGTCGTTTGGTAATTTTTTTCCGTGATGGGTTGCTTTCTTTGCGTTCTGCAGGATAAGCTTGCTATTGGGCCTATGCAGTTTAGCTCCAGTCGAATTTATTGTGTTCACAGAGATAAGTAGAGTCTATTTGCCTCGTGCAAGTCACTGCATGACTTGCTTCATCCTCTCTGCATACTTTAAAATCATAATGGTCATCACTAGGTCGCACACGGCGTCGCATATTCCGCAGTTAAATGGAATGCAGATATGAAAGCATTTCGTGTGAAAAATCTGACGTCTTTGTAGCGTCTGAGAACGGAGAACAGATTGCTGCGTCAACGAATCGAGCAGCTGGAGAAGGAATCGGCGGATCTAGCGGACCGCCTCATCCAGGGCCAGGTCAGTCGCGCGGAGGAGCAGGAATGGAACTTCGAGATCAAGCGGGAGCTGGCTGCCATAAAGGCCCGCGACTCGGAGACGCAGCAGAAGCTGGAGGAGGCGAAAGACCGAATCCGGAAGCTCAGTCAGATGATGGAGGAGGTGTGTGTCTTGCTGATGTTCGCATTCGGGGGATTTTGACACGGGGGTCACTTTTTATTTATTTATTTTATTCAGCCTCCATCGATGGATTCATCGCAAGAGGTCTCGCTCAAGTCGGAAATCATCCAGCAGAAGGAGGAGTTGATTCAATGCCTTCAGTCGGAGCTGGTCACCGTGCGCCTCCGCGAGGCCGAGAACGAAGCCACGATCCGAGACCTCAGGGCGCGGATACAAGAGCTGGAAGAGGTTGGTGCCGTGGCTTGGTGTTCTTGCTCGGTCGAGGGTGATATCCCCGTGTGTATAATCGTTTCTTCGAGTTTGGAAGGTTTCCATGTCGGCACGCAATTATGCACTCGGGTCGTGGTGACATGTTAACAAGAGCTGGGTTCGGTCCAAGTTTCGGAGTGGGGAGGTGGGGGAACTGTTCCGTTTGCTTGGCATAATTACATTTTTGGGTGGCAGGGGCAAAAAAGAAAAAGCTATCGGTATAAATGCATTTGGCAAGGTAATGGCAGTTCGAACATTAGCACTCGATGCGTAAACGCCGACTTTTCAGGACAAGAAACAGCTGCGGGAGTGGACTCCGGAGCACTCGGTCGCCAAGCTGGAAGAGCAGCTCATAGCGTTCAAACTTCAGGAAGGGGAGCTGAAGCATCAGAACCAAGTCCTGCGCCAGAAGCTGTCCGACCTCCGGGCGGAGTTCGAGCGCCACATCAAGGTACGTCGGGGAGTGGGGGGAGGGGATTCGTTGCGATGGGGGAGGCTTCAACGTCTTTTCCTTGGGGGTTCTTCCGTGTAGCTGCAGCAGGAGAAGGAGGAGAAACCCAAGGCGAGTTCGGAGCACAGCACGCCAGCTAAGAAGATTGGGGCCCTGTTCCGAGAGAACAACCGACCGGATCCGAGGCTGGAAGAGGAGCTCTTGTCTCTGAAGCTGAAGGAAGCGGAAGCCTCGGCCGACGTCATGAGTTTGCGCCAGAGGGTCATGGAACTTGAGGCACAGGTGTGTTTCCTGTATTGTAGTGGAGGTGACAGGAAGAACTGTTCAGCCTGTTGGACTTTTAAAACTGGGGACTCCCTTGATAACAGACCCGTGGGCTTGAAACCTGAGGCTTTGAAGTTTTTCCCTCCTCTGTCATAGATTTGTGATTGATCTTGATTTGGAACTTTTTGTGTTTTTATCAGACGCAAGTCAGTGGGAACCAGGTTCGACGGGCAGAAGAAGATCTTACCAAGTGTCAGACCCAGTTGGAAGAATATGCAGCCAAAGAGAAAAGCCTCACTGCTCTAGTCAAGGAACATGAGAGGAAATATTCAGATCTTGAGAGCAAAGTGAGTAGCTTCCTTCTCTTCGACCGGGACGGGTGGATCTTGGTGGGACAGAGTTAAGATAAGTTTTCGTAGACATCGAATTAGATTCTTGATATGGAAAAAAAAATTGACATTCTGTTCTGCTGAACTACTTCGTCGTTGTAGAGTCATCATCATTATCCATAATCTTTCAGCTGCTAGACAAAGGCATGTTTCTGCCATTTCATTCTATCTGAACTGCTCCTACTCCTATCCATTTGACTCCTTCAAAGGAGTGCAAGATGTATAATAATTGCAGTCATTTGCTGGTGTTTCTTTAATTATCATCTTTAAGCACTTATTTCTACCTTTGGCAGTGGTCATCTCTGCATACATCAACGAGTGTTGACCACCATTCCATCCCATTGTGAAACAAGATGAGTACTAGTAGTTCTAACAATTTGGATTTATGTGTCTACCTTGGGTTTTCTTCCACATTGTCATGAGTGAACAAATTAGTTTAGGCTCTCAGCACTGGGAGATGAATCTCCCCTTCTGAGCCAGATCCAAGCATCATTTTTAGTAGAAATTAGGTTAAGGACATCCCCTTGATAGTCTGTGGGAATAAACAAGGACCACTGGGTACACTGGGTTCTATCAGGCCATGCAGCACCCTACATTCCAGTTGTGCATATCCTTCTGTCTGGCCCTTCCTCCTCTCCTCTCCCTTCTTCAATCCCCTCACAGAAAAAGTAGGGCAATGGCCTTTTGGCATATATTCATTTCCTCTGTGGTTTAGCTCTTGGTGCACGTGGGGCCAATTGCCCTCACTGCTTACTTGGCATGGCAACTTTGTATACTTGCCAGGACCAGTTTTCCCTTATGATCCTTGCCTCTTATCAATTGATAACAACTTCAAGTGTGAAGCCATAGCCAGCTCAAAGTAGTTGGTTATTTCTGGGACAGGAGTTCTGAGGGTCTGTTTGCAGAATATAGGCCAGCATGGCTCTTCCATGTAAGACAGGTATTTTCAGAGTTTTGCAAGACCTGTTTCATACTGAAGAAATATATTTGACTACTTTGATACTTTACAATCAGATAGTGTAAGAGTCCTAAATTGTAAAGCAGCTTTTAATGGCTTCTCATTCTTCAGATGAAAGAAGAGCTCATGCTTGCTCGAATTCGGGATGCCGAGAAATCTCAGTGTGTTGCCGAGCTCACCCACAAAATCTCATCCTTGGAAGTGAAGGTCAGTTGTGAGACCACCTGAATCTTGGAATACTCAACTATGGAATCTTTGACCTGATGCTGTTTTGAATGTTTGAATGCAGAATCAGGAACTGGTTGTGGAAGGGGAACTAACCCGAAGCGATGACTCCGAGGATGTGCGCCATCTACAGGACAAAATTGCCGAACTCAAAGCCGAAGTAAGTGGATTCCCCTCTCTTGCATAACTTGACTGGAAACTAATCCACACAACTTATTCTTAGTGCTCACAATCTGGCAAAGATATGCGATGCTGTAGCCACTATTGCACTGTCACCTAACATGCTTTCATGACTAAAGACTACCACATGGGTTGAAATTGCATCAACTCAGCTACTGAATAGCTTATAAGATGATTTCTTCTCATTCAGTGTTGAGGATATTTTTCTGCACTAACAATCAATCTTCTGCCTCCTTTGCTTTACTGCTGCACAGACATCTAACTAACTATCTTCATCCGCACTTCTGAGGTAACAAAAATTCAAGTGCATGCCACTCATTTTTTCCCCACTTGCATCTCACCTTCCTGCATGGTGCCAGTGTTCATCCTGTGCTTATGTTGTTGGTGAGCATACAGCTGTCAAGAACTAAATGCTCTGTTCTGGCAATTCCAGCATGAAGTCTCCTGTTGGTTTTCATTGTTGCATGATACCTAATGGAGGGTATATATCCATTGAGAATCATTTAAACTACCCATCTTACTTCATATTTCAGAGGCATGTATGATGGCCCTAGCTCCCTATGGCTCGGTCGTTGCCCTTGAGAATGTAGAACCTGAATCTAAGTGTGTGCTACAATAGACAAGCTTTGCCTCTTTTTTAATGAGGACGAATTGTTTTCTTAATTGGGCCATGTCTTCCAATTATTCATTTAACACAATGACAATGCTCTATCTTGGCTGTTGCTTCAAAAGGAAAAAACCCTATTTAATTTCCCTCCTTCCCAATCCAGATTCTGCGTCTGCAACTGCAAAACAGAAAATTGAGTCTGTCTGTGAGTCTGCAAAACTTGCATCTGGCTAGAAGCATGTCGGCATCAGAAGACGACAGCGAGGACCTCCGATTGAAGCCAGAGGAGTCGTGCAACGGATCGTCCGAGAGCGGAGGAGAATGATTTCGGTTGTGATAATTTATTCGTACCGAGCTCCGTCGGAAGCCCGAGGGAATGCCGACCATCGAGGTGCTGTGATGCGTAGGATCGACCACGCTTAAATCTCTGTCGATTGTGTCTGGAACGGAAAGAACACTCAAAGTCGTTACCCTCTGTCCGTCGCCGAGGCTTATAGGCTTATGACGCATCTGGTTCTGTGAGTCTAGTTGTCAAACTCTTTGTTGCTCCCGGTCCCCAAGCAATCGAGGACTCTTTGTGATGACTTTCCTCTGCAAGAGAACTCTGCATGGAATCTAGAAGCATATTGTTTTCCTTTGTCCCTTTCTTTCTTGAAATTTTTATTTGTATCATCTGGACCAGTCAGTCACATTCCACGATGTCAGCCGTTTGGCATCCACCCGAATTTGTACGAAGCGAATGCTTGCTATGGGTCGAGGACTCATGCCGTTGCCAGAGCCCAAGATGCTAGATGTATGATACTTCTGATGCATTCGTGTCATGGTTGGATCAGGTCATGTACTATCTGGTATCTTCTGCAGTTGACAGCTGGCATCCCAACGCTCTTCTCGAAGGAGGCATATAATTCCAGTATGAAGATTTGTTATCTTGCAGAGCTGCTGACAAAGAATGAAAATGCCAGAATCTGTTCCAGAATCAGCCCTTTGATGTTGTCTGTTATAGAAGGTGCAAAATTCATATTGTCTCATTTCATAAAATTAGGGAGATTAAGCCATCTTTGGCTCTGGTTGACACATGGACCACCCTACAGCCCAGCCCCACTCTTTCGTACAAATCCTCGTGAGTCATGGATGGGCTGCCTCGACTCGGTTGCCCAGAATTCATCATTCAATTCATTTACACCTCTCTACTCCACTTTCAATAACTTTTCATGAAGGAAACTGTGATCATGTATGTAATTTATCAGATTTCAATCAACTGTCATAGGAATGAGTGATGGTTTCAACTGATTTTCTTTGCCAGAATCTCAATACCGTGTCATTTCATTTACAACCAGTCGATTCATCTGCCCTATCATCGATGTTGGACCCTATTGAATGCTCAGTGAGACCTTTTACTCAATTAAACTCATATCTTAATGATTTTATTTCCCTCCATTTCCCACTGGAGGTGATATTTTTTCTTGAATTTTTTGTGTTTTTTTTTCTATCACAGTGAGATTTTTATAATAGAGGCATGGAGTTTTTCATTGCTGGATGATGAATGCCGACCACTGGTGTCAAGATCTTGTCTTTCATTCCAAAGAAATTATATGGTGTGAATCGAAGATGGTTTGGATTATGAACAGAGGAGATGTTTATCTTGTAAAAGAGCTTTAAGAAGTGGATCATAGAAAGCTTCTTTGCTTTATTGGAGCAATACTTAAAGACTTGTAGAGGACAATAAACGTAATTTCTTACCGACTTTGTGTGCTTTCTTTCTTGCGATT